GCTAAAAAAAAAAAAATGTTCTCTAACATTTGGCATTTCGAAAGTTTTCCTAGCCGGCGGCGAAAGGGGGGGCGTGCCAGTGCGTAAATTGAGTCATTGGTGCTGCTGCTGCTGCTGCTGCTGCTGTTGCTGCCTCAGTTAAGTTTTGATTGAGCATTTAAAAGATGCCGCGATTGGGTTTCGAACTGTGTGTCTGCTGCGGCGTATCCAAGGCAATTTCCTTTGCCAGTTGCCAGGCGCTGCCCTAAGCAGCTTACCTCTGCGAAAGGGATAGAGCGAGACAGAAAGAGAGAAAGGGAGAAGGAGCTGCGCATCAAGTGCTGCAGCAACAGCTCAACAATTTCAACATCCGGCTTCCGTTGAAATGTAATGGAAACCAAGTACGAATACGTGCCGCAGTCTGTGGCAGCTTTACAGTTGGCAAATGGCAACTGCAGGCCGCAAGTGTCGCAAACGGAAATCTAAGCAGCCAGGACACAGCAGGATATCGACTGCACACGCAGGAAAAAAGCAGAGAAGCGACAGCGCCAAGAAGCGTGCTTCGAGTAGGGAATGAATGACTAGCAGATACCCTAAACGGAGTGACGATGGAGAGGAGCTTGACTTAGGTAATCTCTATATATAAATATAGATATGGAGACATGTAGAAATTCTATGATAGAGTTGCTCTGCTTCTTCCTAACCAGAATTTGACTTTATACGAATTTCGCTTTTTAAATATTTATAAAATAATATTTTTATTTATACACTCTAGGAAAGCTTACATACCGAATTTGGTAACGCCAGCTATAATAGAGTTCGAGCTATGGCCAAAACGTAGGTCAATCTATTGATATTTGGCATTTTTTAATACAGTAGAGTCCCGGTAATTCGAAATGGAAAAGAGATCAGTTTTTTTTTTTTTTTTTTTACACAGAATAAAAATATTGAGAATTATTGAGAACGAATTTCTTTCAAGGGAATAGAATTTTTTCGATTTATCGCGATTTTCTATTTAACGGGGTACGAATTATCGAGACTCGACTGTATGTATAAAACTATAGATTAATTATATATTATATACAGTAGAATCCGGTTATAACGACTCCACTTATAGCGTCTATACGGTTATAGCGACGAAAATTCTGGTCCCCAGACAAACTTATACGGTATATATGAATGCTTCCATCTCGAGAACCTTAACAGCTAGAGGCATAAAAATTTATGTAATGGATATAAACATATATAATACAGTAGAATACGGTTTTAACGACATAACAGGAAGCCGCTATACCATTATGTCGTTAAGCCTCTAGCTGTTAAAATTCTCGAGATGGAAGCATTTATATAGACGAAAGGAGAAGCAGACAGATCGATAGAACTATTCACATTAAGCAATTGTAACTGGCGAAAGGCATAGACATATTGAGTCATATAGATGATATACATTATCGAAAAGCCCACTCCACTTATTCAAGCTCTGCATGCCCCTTGTAAGGCATTCATCACTGGGTATACGAAGCAAAACGAACTTGATTTCAGGTGGAAAAATGTTGGGGCATAAATCAAATCAGGCAGCGGCAACGTTGCTAAAGGCAACCACCAACAGCCTTCATTAGTGTTAAACGGCTAACAGAGTGTGGTTACACCAAGCCACGCCCACATCGCACACACACACACTCACGCACTTATGTGCTACATAATTGTGTCGCATATCATTGCGGCTTTTGATTAATTGCCCGCTGCGGCAAATGTGGCAATTATTTTAATTTTATATTTGTTACATTTTTCCTTCTGCTCGCGCTGAATTGAAGATAAGCTGCAAAAATGCTGCCAGCATTAAACATTTATGCGCCATAACTCTCTGCCACGCCCATGCCCCCATCCAGCCGCTCCAAGCTATAGCTGCATAATGATGTCTACTGCTGCCTGCTGTCCGCTGCTGCTTAGATATAGTTTCTCCCACACATACATATGTATATGTATATGTATGTATGTATGTATGTATATTATATATGTATCAACTGCCTAGTGCCTCATTTTCATAGAACTTCCATAAAGCGGCGCTGATTTGCGCCATTTAGTTCGCGCCGCGCTTGATTTATGCGTTCGCCAACAAGTGTAACGGTGCGTATGCGTAATATCTGACTCTGAAATAGATATACATACATATACATAGATATAAATCCCAACCGTCTTGCCCTGCGCAATTTGCAACTCAAACTTGACGCCTAAATCTGGGCTGCGAAACTTTTTTCTGACTTTTGCAATCAAATCGCCAAACCAATAAGCATCCTGCCACGCCCATGCGCCAGCACACGCCCCCACTATGCGTGCAGCTGCAAGCAGCAAATGCAACGCAAATAGTTTGCTAAGTAAAATGAAGGAGAAAAGTTGAAGCTCTTTGAGTGTGGACATTAAATATACCCTGGAATATGATAGAGATTTCAGGTATTTATATGAAATTCAGGATTCTTAATATAAACATTATATATTATATTTAATTTATGAATTATTTTACACATCAAACTTCAACTGTTTTTCTGCTAACTCGCTCACTCAAGTTGCATCCATTTTACAGGGTATTTTTGTAAACGTTTTTGTAAACGTTACGCATCTCTTTCTTGGCCAGCCAAGTTTCCCAGCTGGGTGTGCTGTGGGCGTGTCCGTCAATTGGACAACTGGGCGAGTCGGCAACTCAAATAGAAAGTTTTTATTTTTTGCGTCAACATTACGCAAATTAGTTTGCCAAGCCAAGCCAAGCCAAGCCAAGCAAAGCCAAGCATCAAATGCAGGCATACCCCTAATGACATTTATGCCACAGTCAAGTTTTGGATTTAAGATAAGCTACATGAAAGGCCGAGAGAGCGGGAGGAAGGAAATAGACGTATCACTTCTTTAGTGTTGCAAATGTGAATGATATGGGCATATCCATTGGATCATTAAAGAAAAGCAAAGACTGAGGAAGACATGAAAATATATATATATGGTTTTCTTAGTTAAGCTAGATTTATTAATAATAGGCGAAATTAGGTCCAATAGACTTCATATCATATTAATAAACACGTCTAAACTATTTAATCAACGGATGTATGGGACACTCCAAATGAGTGCAAGGCGGTCCAGGAAATAAAAAATAAATAAAAAACAGCAGAGGTTTTCCAACATATATGAAATTAAGGAAACATAATAGTTAGAAAGTATCAGAAATATTTCATGTTATTAAAAACTGTTATTTTAAGTAAAAATTTAAGATCTAAACTCTTCGAGAAAGCTTGTAATTGTATATCGATAAATGATATATCGATAAAATGAGAATTAACAATACCCTTAGAGAAGCTTCAAGCCGGCACTCGGCAGCTTAAGATTCGTAAAGAGCTAGAAAAATTTGTGAAAAGCAGAAAATAGATTATATTTTATATTTAAGCGCCTAAGGCATTCGCCTCTCTCTCTCTTTCACTCTCTCTCCCTCTCTCTTTCTCTCTTCTTTGAGCTTATTCAGGCTCAGGACTCCAGTTCCTTATATTTCTTAGTCCCGTTGTTCCCATCGCATGCATTACTACCTTTTGTGCACACCTGTTAAATCATAAAATCAAATATGCATTGAATTACATTCAGCTGTTGCCCATTCACAATTAAATTATCCCTTTTTTGCAAGAACAACAACAACGAAAGCTTAACTCGATTTGCTGGCCATAAATTTGCTACCACAAGAGGACGGCCCCCCACACTCTCTCATCTTCACTCTCACTCTCTCTTCCTCTCGCTCTCGCTCTCTACGATTACTCTAAAAAGCAAAGCGGTCGCAATTTTTTAGTCGACATTTTGTAGCGTTCGCCTCTCGTTTTATGCGCAAAAGTGCGTGTAATTCAATTTTTCATGCGCCGCGGCACCCAAAGGAGGCGCACCGTGACTGACCCTACCTTTTTCGTATGTGTGTGTGTGTGTGTGTGTGTGTGTGTGCTAAGACAAAAGAAGCGAAAATATGCGTCAAAGGCATATTTTGGCACGCAATTTGCGTCGATGGCATGTCCTTATTGATGAGCGATCCCTTTTTCAGTTATCCTTTTAACCGTTAACGCTTATCAATATTTGATGCTAAAAACCTTTTAAAAACAAAGTAAAAATCCTCGAATCGACATTGCCAGACTACAAGATACCCTGAGTAATGCGATAGAGCCAATATTCTCATCATAATTAGCAGCATCTCCTTTGAACATACATATAATAAAGAACATATGCACACACACATATGCACATGCATCCACACGGGCTTAAGCCCACGCTCTGCGCTAACTGCGCAGCTGACGCAGCGACTGCGCTGGGGCAAGGGCAAGGGAAGGTCTGAAGCCTAGAGGGAAATTGTTGTTTTCTAACTTTCTAAATTAACTTTTCTGATGGAATTTTTGGCTATAACAATTTAATATAAATATATATATATATATATATATTTATATTAATATATTTAAACTTGAAACTTGAAACAATTTTTTTTTTTTTAATTTTTCGGGAAATAGAGATGGTATCTCAAATAAAATTATTATTTCTACTCAGCACATGGCTCTGCACAGTAAATCTGAAAGTTCTAGCTCTAATAATAAGTCGAATAATCGATTCTAATCGACAATTAGATAACGATAAGCTGTTATCGATAAAAATCGATCAATGCTCTTGTAATTTTAAGTCTAACTTAACGAAATTATTGAAAAGTGTGAAATGTTCGTAAGGAAAAGATTTCTAGTCCAGCTCTTGTGGCTTACGTGATCGATGTGTTCATACGAGAGAACAAAACGACGAACGTACAGAACTACAGGCGGATAGATATTCACGGACATAGCTACATCCACTCCGCTGGCCAGCCTCATCCCTCACATACATATACATATATGTATATACATAATCCCATGCCACGCCTCCTTCTGCCTGTTACATACATGTTCTCTAAACCAATATACCCCAATTTGCCAATTGTAATAACTTCAGCAAAGCAACAAGAAAGAAAGAAAAAAAAGTTCATTCTCTTTTATGCAATTTTAAATGCGTAAAGCTCTTCTTTTATTTATTTATTATAGATGTGCATAATGCGACACGTGCCGCCAAAGGCCATGACAGAGTGTATTTGTGTGTGCGTGTGCGTGCGTGTGTGTGTGTGATTGGTCTCTCGAATTCAGTTATTAGTCTCAATGGTCGACATCGCGATTCGTGGTGCGTCGTCGCTTGGGCGTCACACTGGAGCCGCGGGACCGCGAGCGGAGCGCCGCACGCAAGTTGCTCGACAGACGAGGCAAGCTGGCCGCTGCTGCTGCTAGGGCCGCTGCACCGCCGTTGGGGTCCGTTGGGCGAGCCAAGTTGCGTGGGTAGCCCGCAGTGGGCAACAGGGGCTGGCCACGCCGCGGCATAAAGATATCGGGATCCAGCATACTGCGCTCGATGGCCACCTCGAGGCTTAGATCATTGCTCAACAGGTTGGACGATGTGCCAGCCGCTGCAGGAGCAGCAGGAGCAGCAGTAGCAGCTGCAGCAGCAGCAGCAGCAGGAGCAGCGCCATTGCTGTTGCTGTTGTTGTTGTTGTTGTTGGAAGTCGAATTCGAGTTCGAATTCATGTTAATAACGGTATTGGTATTCATGTCGAAGATGCCACCAGTTGTGCCTGTAGCCGCTGCACCGCCTCCAGCTGCTGCTGCAAGTCCGTTTGATGCTGCTCCTGCCGCTGCAGTGTTGTCCGAGCTCTGCACCTGGTCACTGCTCGCTTGGCCGGCCCTCTGACGGGAACGCAGTACGCCTGCCGCATTGTGCTCGGCGAGCAGGCGATGTAGCTCTATCACTAATGGTGACTCCGTATTCGTATCACTCATATCGAGCAGATCTTCAATCTCATCGGGCACCTCATCCTCTGCCTCCAGCTCAGCCGAGAAGCCGACACACTCATCCTCATCCACACACTTGGAGAACTCCACGAAGTTACGCATGAGTTTCGTAGTGCTCAACGGCGGCTGCTGCGGCGGCTGCTGCTTCACCGGCTGCTCCTGCTGCTGCGTTTCCTCATCACCCTCCGCCGCCCCCTCCGCCACACCGTCCGCCACCTGCTTTGCAATTTCGATGGGCCGCTCCTTATAGCTCACATTGCACTCGTAGCTAATCATATCGTCGTAGGGCGAGCGAGCAAAGTTGATGAGCTCGTGCACAAAGTGGCTGGTCTTGGATCCCAGAAAGTAGGACAGCGACATGTTGAACTCCAGACTCCTCATGTTCACCTCGAGGAGCAGCTCCTGCAGCACATCGAAGACGGTCAACAGCTCCGCCTGCGCGTTGCACAGCAGCACGGACAACTCACGATTGGCAAAGCAAAGCAGACGATGCACCTCATCCGAATTGCGCCTGCAAAGGGAATACATATATATAACTCGATCTATATCTATATAGATGCCACTTTACCTGTACACCAATGGCGTGCATTCGCGGTAGCTGCGCGACTCGTCCTCTGGCAGCGAATACAAGTTGTTCGCATAGACGTAGACGCGCCAGTAGACCATATAGCGCGAGCCCATTTCAGATATATGTAGTTTCGATCAGTTGCCTTAGATATTGTGTATTGAAAATCAAATGAAAATTACCACAGCAAAATATATCAAAACAAACGACTGACAGTCTAAGCAAAGCCCAAGTTTCTCATGTTTCAATTCCACTTCGTTTCACCGCCATAAACACTTGTTTATGTTTTTGTGTGTGTGTGAGAGAGAGAGAGAGAGAATTGCCTGGGCTGTCTTACTTATTAAATTTCTTATTTATGTTATATATACGTATATCTATTTGATCAAGCTAAGTATCTTTCTATATACATATATATAGAGCTTACCAAATTTCACTAAAGCTTTCTTATTGAACCGGTCAGATCCAAGTTTTTGGGAGAGATGTCACGAGCCTGCTGCCTGGGAAAATTTGGGCTGCCACAATTCTTAAGGCCGGTGCACAAATTCATATCGATAACGATAGTAATCGATATAGAAATATGAAAATTATGAATGGAACAGATTGCAGTCTAAAAATCTCTCTCTCTCTCTCTCGCTCTTCTAGAGAAATATCAGCTCAAGTTTTGAGTAGGAATAGAAATTGTCGCCAAATTAGGTTTAATCAGGACTCCGAAGCTTGGAAACCTTTTGAGAAGTTGGACTTTGACGAGCTTTCATCTAAAAGCTGATCAGCCATAATCCAGAAAGATTAGAAAGAGATATATATAAATAGATATATATTCTATATAAAAAACGTAAAATAGAATAGGCCGACATTTATAGAATTTCGTCCTTATACGCAGAAATTCATCAAACCAACAATTCAAAAAAGTTTCCCTGATACTTCTTATTGGAGCTATATGATATCGCGGACCAATATTGTTAAGATTCAATTTATATAAAGTAGAGATGATCTATTCTTCACAAATCCCGTTTTCTTATGTTATGCAGACGAAGTTTTTCATACATCATTAATATTTACAGTTACGACCTGAACTATACCTATACCTATTCCAAATTTAATGAACTTAACTTCAGGTAGCTCAAAAGAGAAGCTGATAAACAGACATACTTAACTCCTAATACATATTAACAATGTATATATGAAATATGTATAAACATTCTATAAAACCTTTTCTTGTAGCTTACATATATATAGTATTAAATATATATAATAAATAATCGTTATATATAAATATTAGATATATATAATCAATGATCTTATATATACATATTAAATATATATAATAAATAATTTTTATATATAATATAATAATATATACTGAGGGAATATATGGCCAAAATCGTACAGCTAATCAGCTCAAAGACAACTAAGAAAAAGTTAATCCTTTGCTCAAAATCTTGCAAACAATTCTCAATTTGTTTATAGCTCTGAATCATATAATCTTATATCAATTGATCCTGATATAGAAAAAGCTAAAGGTAAAGATAATATTGTACATCGATTCTAGAATTAGCTGACAGTAACAAAACATTTTTTTTTTTTATATATGTTTAGGAATCAGAGTGGATTCACAATAGTTTAATATTTTTTTGTTTTATTAACTACGTGCACAGTTTATACACAAAATAAAATTCATAATTAATAATTTATGATATATCAAATACATATATATGTATAAATAGGTCAATATATATGTATAATATATCATTAATAAATATGCAACTCGGCTGAGAAATCGATACAGACTATTGCCATGCTTTATATATACAGATGTATATAAAGACTGTATATATATATTAATTTATACAATTATTGCATTTACTGAAGAACTTAGTTTCAACATTGTAAAAAAATGAATTATTAATTTAAAAACTTTGGATATGCTCAGCATTTGGCATATGCATAATGGATTTCCTTGCGTTTTGTTGAAACATTTGCTTAGTTTGCTACACTGATTTTAGCGTACATAAAAACTAGGCTTAAATCGATTATTTATATATATGTATGATCATACATACATATGTATGTATGTATGTGTGTGTATTTGTATAATTACGTCTGACTTATCTAAGTACAAACAATTACAAATTAATTCATGGGATTAAACGGGTTTAACAGAGGCGATCAGCTGTGTTGGAGGTGGGTGTAGGGGATGTGTGTATGGGTGTGTGTATGGGTGTGTATGTTTTCGGGTGGGTTAATGGGAGCAATGCATTTATATAATACAATGAACATGTGTATGTATAGCTAAGTATATATGTCTGTGTATGTACAACTTAAAAACTCAAGCTTAAGCTTAATTAACGGCCTCAAGACTACAAAAGTTTTCTCGTCCTGCGTTTAACATTAATCTCTAAATATATGTATAAATCGGGAGTCATTCTCTTCATCATCTTCGTCTGCTTCTTTTTAGGTATAGTCAACAAGTTTAAATGGGGATTCTTAAAAGAGAACGTCACACAGGCGTTGTTAAGAACAACTACTTAAATAAAAAAAATAAAGTGTTTAAAAAAGAAAACTCGTTAAAAAAAACCACAGTTCGTGCTTTAGCAAGCGGCAAGGCGTCTTAGTAGGCATCCGTTGCATCCAGTTCCGAGTCGCTGGCCTCGGTATCGGGTGCCGGAGAGTCTTCAGCATCTTCAGCATCATCGGTCGCATCATCGTCCTGCTCCTGGTCATGCTCACCCTCATCCTCATCATCTTCGTCATCATCGTCCTCTTCCTCCTCCTCTTCGTCTTCACCGTGATCTACCTCCTCCTCCTCGTAAGCAACACTTGGTTGCTCAACTGCCTCTGCCTGCTGTTGCCGTTGCTGTTGCTGCTGCTCCTGCTGCACTTCCGGCTCTCCCTCAACAGATTCATTCAGCAAGCTGCTCTCCGCCTCCCTCACCACATCAATGATAAAATCATCATTGCTGCCATCCGAATAAATGCCCAATTGCGCCTCCTCATCCACAGTCCGCGGACGCCTGCTGCTGGCGCTGGTGTGCAAATAGCTTACCGTAGCCTCCGATTGCTCGCTGTCCGCCCTGTCCACACTGCCATCCGGCAGCCCAATCAACGTGGCGCTATGGTAATCCATGGCCATGCGACTCGGCGCATTCGCGTCCGAATTGTTGGTAAGTGAGAGACTGAGGGGCGAGCAGCTGGACATGGTATTGCACTGACTGGCCAAGGTGCTGCTATTCACGCTCTGGCTATTGCTGTGACTGGACAGATTACTCAGCTGGCTGCTGTTGCTGTTGCAGCTGCGACGTCGTTTACGCGTGCTGCTCTTTATATTCAGCAGTGGCTCTGCTGTGCGGTGCTGCTGCTGCTCCTGCAGCTGCTGTTGCTGCTCCACCGCCTCCTCTGCCCCTGCCTCTGCTTCTGGCTCTTCTGGCTGCTCGGCTTTCAGCTCTTTCTGGTGCGGCTTTAGCTCTATTTTAATGTGCTCTCTGAGTGTGCTCAGCTTTAGATTATCCGAGCTGTCATCATCGCTGCTGTTGCTCTCATCGTTGCTGCTGCTGCTCACATTGTTGCGCTTCCTCTTTGCTTTGTTACCTTCGAGATGAAATTTGATTGAGTTATTGATTTTATTTGAATTTCTCTTGATTTCTCTCTCCCATTTACCTGCTGCATCGCAGCTTTCGTCTCCGCTGCTGCTGCTGTTGTTGTTGTCGTTCCTGTCGTTGCTCTTGCTCTTGCTCCTGCTTGGCATGCGCAATCGTGGCGGCTCATCCGCATCCTCATCATCATCCTCCACCGGCTGCTGCTGCTGCTGCTGCTTGCGTCGCCGTTTGTTCTTGAATTTATTGCTGCTGTTGGTGCGGGCCACACGCTTGCGCGTTTTAGTCTTGCGCGCTGGTCGCCTCTTCCTCAACTTCACATTGGACTCATCGCTGCTGTCCTCGCTGCTGCTGCTGCTGCTGCTGTTGATCCAGTTGGCGCCGCTACTGCTGCTGCTGCTGCTACTGAAACCGCCGGCAGCTGCTGCCACTTGGCTGTGGCGATGCTGCGAACGTGTCGCATGGCGTTTGGGCAAGCCGTTGCGCTGCAACTGATCCTTGCGACGCACCACCATCCAGCGGCTGTGCGAGTTGGAGCAGACGCCCGTGCTGGTCGAGGGACCCATGAACAGCTCACTGGGCACGCTGTCATCAATTGATGCCTCAGCATTGGCGGCCTCACGCGCACCAGCTGCAGCATCTGTTGCCTTGGCAGGCGACGAGGACGAAGTCTGTGGCCTCTGCTCATCCACAAAGACCACGTCCGAATCACTGTTGGAGTCCAGGCTAACCAGCTCAGGTGTGCGCAAATGCGGCGGCTTGCGCTCCAGCACAAAGACGCACTCATCATCGTCGCTGCTGTTGCTGCAGTCGCTGCTCTGCAGCTCGATGTGCGCACTGATGGGCAGACTGGCGCCCGCCTGGCGTCGTCCCGTCTGCCCGGTGCCATCATTGATGGCGGCCACCTCGGCATTGGCCTCCGCATCGCCATCATCGCCGATCTCGATGATCTCGTTGGCCGGCCGGCGCATGCTCAGATTGATGGCCACCGTCTGGGAGCCCACATTGGAGGTGGTGGTGCGACGTATCGAAATCCCTGGCAGCTCGCTGCCATCGGTGGCCATGGTTACGCTAAAGGAATGTGTTGCACTGGGATTGGTCACGATAACGCTAGTCGAGGGGCGTGGCAGGCGGCTCCACTCGCTGACAGTTTCAGCGCTAGCATTGACAGCGCCATCGCCGCCGCCGCCGACGCCACCGCCGCTGCCCTCAGTGGCCGTTGCTGCGCTGCCTTCGTTATTGCCGGACACCAAGTCGAGCAGATCCACCTCCACTTCCTCGGCCACACGTGCCGAGTATTGCACCACCCGATCATAGCCGACCATGTCGTAGGGCGAGCGTGCAAAATTGAACAGCTCGTGGATGAAGTGATTGGTGCGTTCGCCCAGGTAGGGTGTCAGGCGGCGACGGAATGTGCGGGTCGGTATATTGATCATGGGCAGGATGTCGTGCATCAGCTGCATCACTTCGCTCACATTCTGCGGCAAGTTGCGCAACAGGCAGACAATATCCCGATTGATCCAGGGCATCAGGCGATGCATCTGTGCGGGGTTGTCTCTGCAGGGGCAGAAAGAGGAAATAGAAAGGATTACATATATATATATATGTGTATATATATGATTATGGCTATTCCAATGCTCACCTGTAGAAGCGTGCGCTCCACTCACGAAACTGTCCCGTTAGACTGTCGCACACGGGCAACGCGTAGAGCTTCCTGTCGTAGACATAGCGACGCCATAGCTGACTTAGTGAACCCGAACCGCCCGCATCCTGATCATGACGATAGAAATTCAGCAACTCTGTGCGATACGGCTCGAAGCGATTGAAGGGCCCCTGCATGCGAGTGGGATGTGGAAGGAGCCCGTCCAGTGAATCGTCTGTGGCACCGGCATCGATGTCATTGGTCAGCACACCTTGGTTCAGATAGCGCTGTCGCCTAATGTTGACAATGTGAAAGCTGACAGATGAATGCTCCGGCGTGTTGGACTGCACCGGATAGCGATCGTAGTCGTCCAAGGTGCGGACGTTGTGGATGATGGTCTTGAAGGGCTGCTTGCAGAGCGGGCACTCAGCCTTGATCTGGGTGTTGTGATGAAATTGTGGTTAGATTTTTGTTGAATTGAAAGACTCGTATGACTCACCTTGCTCCACTCGCACAGACACTTGAAACAGAACTGATGCATGCAGGAGTCGGTGAAGCATTTGCGCCTGCAGCGGGACAAGCAAATGGCACAATTTGGTGGCGGTGACGAGCGTCCGGATGAGCCATGCTCCAGCTGTTGCTGCTGCAGCTGTTGTTGTTGTTGTGTTTGTTGTTGTTGCTGCTGCTGCTGCTGCTGGGACGACGGCTGCAAATGTGGACCGCTGCTCACATCGTCGCCGCTTTCGCTGCCGCTCTCTGTGAGATCTGCGAATTGCATTGCAGCAGCAGGCAAAGTGCCGGGGCCACCTCCTCCTACAGCTGTGGGCTCGACAATAACAGAGGCAGCCACATCCTCGATATAGGGATGAGGCTCCTCAATTAGCAGTGAATCGGCCATGGACTGAGTATTTTATATATAGTAAATATAGATTTTTAGATATATTTATAGATTTACGAATTCTCCTGGAATTAAATTCGTAATGAATCGGCGACACTTTTCTTCGGGTTTTAATCTGAATTTTTTTTTTCCCTTCTTTTGATATCTCTACTCGACTCGTTCTGTCTTACTCGCACTAGCACTCACATTTACACTCGGTCTGCTCACTCGTTTAGTTATCATCTGGTTTTGTTCGCATTGGAGTGACCAAAATCTGAACATGCGTCTTATTTTGCATGGTTTTTGCGATATAAACTCGCGTTTTTCTCTAAAACTGATGTAGTGCGTTCGTTTGCCACTTTTACGCGTTGTAATTTACAATTTGCTAGATTCTTCTATTTCACGATTCTTTCAAGTTTTTGACGATTGAAGTTGACAGAAAATTATTTGCTGTATTCACTTTATAGTTCCCGTATGTTTATTGGTAGCACTATTATGCCGCTGGGCAGCACTATGCACTATCGATAACATACGATAGCATAATTTCAATACAAGCATTTACTGCTATTTGCAGTGCACATTTCATTTCATGGGGAAAAAATTCATTTATTTATAAATTAAAAAAGAACTCATTTATTCAAAATACTTCAAAATATTACATATTCACAATATGTTTTGCATCCATTGTGAACAGCGTATTGCGCTCAGCAAAAGCAACATTGCGCGTTTACCACAATGCTTATCGATAATCTGCATAGAGCAGCATTGTTCACCGCTTTACGAAATGCACTAAAAAACGCATAACGCGTAAAATTTGTTTGCATTTGGTGGCGTCGATTTTAATTTTTCGTGTTCGCAGTGTATTTCCCGGAGGAAAAACCTTTTTTTATTGGCAAATCGTGCAATTCACGGGGTCGCAAAATGGACAGGCGCAAAAAACGAACCTCTTCGGAGCAATATCAAATGTATATCGAGCTCATGGAGAGCGACCCAATTTTCGCCAGCGGACGCGTGCCGCGCGATTATGATCTAAATTATTTGACGAGGAAATGGAAAGAGCTCTCCGACAGGCTCAACAAATGCGGATCGGGACCGACACTAACAGCCGAAGAATGGCGCAAGGTGAGTTTTCGCCCTTTATAACTCTCTACGTGTGCGTGTGTCTGTTTGTGTCTCAGTGGGAGTACGTGCATGTGTGTGTGTGTACGTGTGTGCGCGCGCTTAGGTCTGTGTGGGTCTCCCGTTATGTTGTAAAGAGCAACGGGTGGGGTGAGGGAGGTAGGCAAAGCGATTATTGGCGGCAAATGAATGACGCGCAAATATTTGTTGATTGCAGCGCCTAAACGACTGGAAGAACACGACGCGATGCAAGTACAGACGCAGCCTGATGTCCAGCGAGAAGGATATATCGATGTCATCGCTAGAGACGCGTGCTCTAAATCTGTTTGGCAAGGTGCCCGGATCGGGGGAAACGTTGATGAATTTGAAATCGGAGAAAGATGATCAGGAGGATGATATGGAGGATCTGGGACAACGCACATCGGCCTCGTTCCAAAAGGAACTGCAAGCGGCCGTCGAAGAGGCCATCAATGACGAGGATGAGGATGAAATGGTGGAGGAGCATGTCGATCAGGAGGATCTCACCGATGAGAACATGCACGAGCCGGGCGGCGGCATCGACGGGCCCACTGTGGGCGGCACGACGGCCGTGAATACAAGCGGCGGTGGCTATCGCACCATAGTCGTGGACAATTCCACGTATGTGGAAGAGGATCAGGATCATGCGGAGCCAACCGCTGATCCCGTCAAGTTTGTGTGCACGCCCAACATACACTCGGCCAGCAGCAGCACCACCAAGCTAATTAACGGTGAATTGCCCGTAAAGCGATTACGACGAGATCAGGTGATCTACGAAGGTGAGTGCTGAACAGTTAACCAGTTAAAGGAGCTGTAATTGTATAACACTTTCGCTGTTATCTTTCGTTTGCAGTTAAAAATGCGCCGCGCTCCTATACAACCATCCAGACGGGCGCCTCGTTGCCGACCCTGCACAACACAAAGATGCATCACGATGGCCAGGCCACCACATTGGGCGCCGCATTGAGTGGGCTGGATGCGCAGGAGATAGCTCATCAATTGAAACGCCTGGCTGACATCAACTATGAGACGCTGCAGTTTGAGATCGCGCGCTTTAAATTCAATAATCCGGGCTTTCACTATGAGCCGCCGCCATTATAGTCATTGCCCAAGGCACAAGCGCAAAGCATCAGCAGCAGCACCAGCAGCAGCGTGAGCCGCACACAGCAGCAACAACATCAGCAGCAGCACCAACAACAGCAACAACAGAAGCAGCAGCAGCAGCAGCAGAAGCAACGGGAGCAACAGCATAAACAGCGGCAGCACCATGAGCGAACGATGGAGACGAAGAAGAAATAGTTCTAGTTTTTATTGACAAACACGAACACAAACACAGACACAGACACAAAACACATATTTGCGCTGTCAGTTCGAATTTGTACATTTTACGTGAGCTGCAGACAACAAACAACAAACAAAACAAACCAACAACAGCAACAACAACAATTGAGCACTTGTGGCTATCGTAACCCCCTAAAAGTAGCCAGTTTTTTATAGTTTAAAATTTACGTAGTTCATATATTAATGCAAATCATTTTCTATAATACACAGTTTCAATTACACACAACACTACACACACATATATATAAATATATATATATATATACTAATTTGTATTTGTAATGCTTAAAAGGTATTGAACTGTGTGTGCGACATATCGATTGGCGAATATTCCCTAAACTGATTTCAATATTTAGGAATTCGCCTGCTCGCACATTGTTTACCTTTTACTCTCAAGTGGAATCCATGTCGCATTGGACAACATAATTTTAAACAATTGTATGTAAATGTAAAGAATAAAGTTTACCAATGATAAAAATACGCACCCATTGTGTTATTGATACGATTCATCCAGTAATAATCCATTGACAAAGTATATTATATCAATTATAAGTATAACAGCTGTCGAAATTTTCGGTTGCTTACAGCTAGTATAACACTTTTATAACAGTCCAGGCCTTTCGAGGCGGCAATTTACTCAGCCTCCTTTTGATTTAATTAGTTTATAACATTCCGTTGTATATCTAGTATATCACTTTTATAACAGTCTTGTGTGGGCAGTCGACGCATCCTCCTAACATTCACAGTTGAAGGTCCTTGAGGGCAGGCGGCCCATGCAGAAAGTTAATCTATTCATTATCCATCTCTAGTGTCCAGCTTAAGACTTTTATAACACTTGAATGTAATCCATTCATCATTCAACTGCCAACATCTAGTATAACAGTCATGGACTTGCGGTCTACCCAGTCTCATGTAGACTTCATTCGAGTCATTCATCAAGTTGACCACATCTAGTATAACACTTTGATAACAGTTGAAGGCCCTTGGGTCGGGCGGTCGTATGCGCTGCAATAATTCATTTTAACTGTTATGTTATATATGTATGTCTATATGTACATATATAAATGCCGCTGCAACAAGTGCCCAGCGTATGATGAAGAGTGCAACGAGCCGCCTCTTAAGAAAATCACTTGAATGGGGCGAATGACGGCGCGCCAATAGATCATTTGAACGCCGTGCGCTTCGAATCATAAATTACAATTGCCGCCAGGTCGCAGTCGAAATCTCAGAGTGAAAAAAGCCTTTGCAGCAGTCTGAGCGTCAACAACGCATGCCAAACCGTTAGTTGACCATTTGGTTGTTGTTGTAGTTGTTGCTAGGAGTTCGGTTAACTGCACAACACGTCGTATGCTTAATCTCTTTTCAGTTCTGTTTCGTTTTTGTGTTGCTGTTGTTGTTGTTGCTGTTGTGGGTGCCGCCTGCGCTTTGATGAAAGGCCTCCAAGCAAAGCTGATTAACGGGCGTGTGCACACTCACACTCACACACATACACATACACACACTGATAGATGATTGGAGATGGCATAGTCTGGTGGCACAGCCACAGATGTCTTCTTCTTCTTCTCACATGGCCACGGCTGTGCCATGCCAAGTCCATTAAAATAGTTCGTGTTGCACTCGTTCCGCCAGTCTGTGACTGGCCCGCTGCATGGATCACGGTCACACACACATGACAGCGTGCAAAATTTGACCCCTAGGCGGGTGTTACACTAAAACAAAAAGAAACATCTTGAAAGACACAGCAAAAAAAATCTGTCTGCAATATGTGAAGCACTCAAAATGCCATATCGATGCACTACTTGCAGTCGCACTGGGCATATTGGTGAGAGTATCGTTTTAGAGCTATTGAAAATGACTCTGTTAAATTTAATGCGTAAATTTAACGATAAGGTAACAATTTATTTCTATTAGACATGTCAATAAATATAATTACTTGTAATCAGTCAATCCAATGCGACCCGATGAACATAATTAGCTGCAAATTTTCTGTAGCTGAAACGATAGTCGATTATGCAGCACTGTTATTAATTGAATTCCAAGACAACGAAAGAGTGCCCAAAAAAGAAGTGGGCACGCAAAAAAAAAAAAAAAAAAAGCAAACTGTACTTTGAGCAAAGGAAACAAATAGAATATGAAATCAAGTACAACAAGAGAAAACGCAAAGCCAAAAATTACGCTATTCCCTTTTCTATTGAAACTGCGTAAATTTAGTTGCCATTATTGAATCGATGCGTGCGTGCGCGTATTATTATTATTTTAATTTTTTTGCGTTTAATGTTGGATCAATTACCTTTTATGCATCTTAAATTGTTGCTTTATACATTTAAAATGATTCAATTAAATAATATTAAAGAATGCGATCAATGTGGTTATAAATTAATGACAATGTAATTTAAAAAAAAAAAAAAAAAATATATGTAGTGCTTTGAGCTCAATAATTGAAGAAAGTCATTGTTCTTATTAAATTAAAAAAAGAATGGTTTTCATTTATATAAATATATACCCACATACATTTATACATGCATATGTGTGTATGTACATATGTTCATTTATACTCAAATCTGTTGAATTTCGCGTTGGAAGAGCTAAAAAGGAAGAAACTGTTATACATACACACACACATATACGCTTGAGAGGAACAGCTCAGCTTAAATACCGACACCAATACTATGCCAACATGTGTAAGTGTATATTAATTGAGTGAAGAAATTGAAAAGGAAGGGCTCAAGAGAAAACACAGACACACACATGCATATGTACATACATACATACATATTTATATGTGTTCATACGTACTTATGCATATAATGCATGCATACATATGTATGTACATACCTATACATGAGTGTGTTTAGTGAGCAACTTCGCTGCACACAAAAAGTGACAAAGTAATGTACTCTACTAAAACTCAAAAGACACTGTAACAACATGTATTGAGTGTAAATTGAAGCAGGTACGAACTCAAAGAAAATACTCAATTATAATGTTATTATCACTTCAGATTTATTTGCGTAAATGCAACTTGCTTTGAGTCTGTGTTTTGCCTTAGTTTCAATATTATAAGAAATGAATATTTGATAATATATTTCATATAAATAAAGGTGGAATTATAGTTAATTAATTATTTAAAAATCAATTACTCAATATATGGCTCGCAGCAATTAAATGACTAGAATTAGGAGCTGCATGCTCTGTCATTCTGTTAGAATTTCTAGGCTTTACACGAATGAATGTGCGTGAGTGCATGCTTATGTTTGTGTATGTGTGCATATTCTTGTCAGCAAGAAGCAACGCTGGAGGCCCAATTGAAATTTCCATATGTATGTACATATATGCATGCATATGTATGTATGTATACAAGATATATGCCTAAATTAATGTTTTATTAAACGCGTTGAGACTTTGGCGATTCATCTTCATTCGCTGCCATTGCCAATGGCCATTTGGCTAGTCAGAGTCAGAGCCAGAGCCAGAGACAGAGACAGAGCCACATGTGTGCCATGGGTGCAATCTCAGCGCTTGACTCTCAGTTACAGGCAATGTGCAGAGCTCAGGTTAGGGTCCCTTGCATGGGCCAATGTTCTGTTCAGTTCTCTTCTGTTCCATTCCGTTCTGGGCGCAAGAGTGCAAAGCGTTTTTATGCTAGCGATTATTACGCTTGACCCTAAAGTACCAAAGGGTCAATTGATGTTTGTGATGTTGCTGAATGTTGTTGCCGGCAACAACAGCAACAACAACCACAAATAGGCAACAAACAACATTTGCTGGCGTTGTTGCCCGCAATTTGCTTTGGAATTTTAAGCAGCGCGACGGTCGCATCGCCATTTACCATTTTACATTTTTACAATTTTTAGCAGCGTTGACGCCGACGTCGCCGTCGTCGGTCGACATCAGCAGCATCGGCGGCGTCATCATCCTCCTAGACGAATATCATTTTGCACATTCTGCTTTCGCTATGTATTCCACTCATTCGCCGTTTGCCTTTTTGCCCGAAAATTGCATTTCTTTTCGCCGCTTGCAGCGTTGAAGCGTCAGCAGCAAAGCACTCAACGATTTGAGTTGTTTTTTTTCTCTTTCCTTTGCTTCTTTGTTTTCGATTTTTTTTTCAATGTTTCTGCCCTAGCGGTGAGCATATTAGATTAGCTGCAAAGTGTGTAACGGTGGGAATGAGATTTTCGATTGTTTTAGAGTTTATACCGTATATTAATAACCTCTCAAATTTATATAGACGGAAATTTGAAAATATTTATTTACTTTATTTAAAAATTATAAACAATTATTTTTAAATATTTAATGAATGAATACAGAAAATAAATAATAATATTAAAATAATTTATAAACCAAAAGTAAATACTGAAATACTCTTAAAAATTACTTTGTTGTTTATTATTATTATTTTTTGTTTTTTGTTTTTCTTAATTATATACTAAAAATACAAAGTATAAATATTATAAAAAATTAATATTAAAAATAAGAATATAAATGCTTTCATAACTTTATATGCAATGCCGGTTAGGGTATTTAGTCTTCGACATTCGAGGCACAATTTGTTCTGTCTGGTATTTTTTTTTATGTCCAGTCCTTAGACAGTTGATATATCACTGCTGATATTCTTTCAACTACATTGCTTATCAACGATTTGGGGCTTTGTTTTGGTTGCTTTTTATGCTATTTTTGTTGCTTTGGGGCGATGTTGGCCAGAAAATTGCTGTCAAAAATGTGCAAGTTGTTCTCATGCTCGTTTAATATAGAAATTATTTAAAGTTAATTTTTTTTTTTTGTTAACTTTTTTATTTTTTGGTCTCTCGTCTGCTGCTGCAGAGTTTCGGGCCAATTGATGCTGGGAAAATGGCAAAATCGTGAACGCTTTGTAAGGCACCGATGACTGCGTCTGCGTCAAGCGTTTCATCTGACGACTCTTACGACCATTTAATGACCTACATTCAGAAGAGGGCATGCAAATTAAAACGAATGAAGAAGAAGAAGAAGAAGAAGCCGGTAAGTAAACTCTATAGTTTAGTTGAAAGCGCTCTTGCAAGTCTCTCATCTCTTTCATCTATCGTCTTTCATCTGCTTGCTCGATTGCATAATTCTATAATTCCATAATGCCGGCATAGATTATTTGTTCTCTTTTACATTTGATGATATGATATGAGAGCAGCTTTTGTTGTACCGGCTGCCATATAATTATATTAGCATGATCTATGTCATTAAGGATGTACATATACATATATATAGATGCGTGTCTCTGTGTGTGTGTGTGTGTGTTGTGCCTGGATAGTGCAATTAGTGCAGCAGCAGCAGCAGCAGCAGCAGCAGCAGCAGCAGCAGCGGCAGCGGCAGCGGCTGTAAAAACAACTATCGACTGCGCTGCGGCTAACAATATAGAGCCGGCGGGCGTTTATGGCCATGAGAGTGGAGGCAAAAGACAGGCCATTATTGACGCCACTGGACACTGGGCTGGGATGGGTCGGGATGCTGGACACGGTGCATGGGACACGGTGCATGGGACACGGCTCACGCTCGTCTCCTAGTTGCTATCATCAGTGGCCATTGTGGCTCGATGCTTGCATGCAAATTGTGCGCTGCGCCCAACATGCAAAAATACAAAATTATTGATGCCTAACCGACAGCTAAAAGTACAAAAATATTGAGCACTGAAATAGTGCCAGCTATTTGGCATGACCGGGCGCCTGTTTGAGCCCTCTTTGGGTCCGCTCGCTCTATACATGGCCGGCTGCTGGCAGGCAGTCATAAACACGCACTAATTGCAGCCATGATTTGTTATACACTGCATTAATGGCGTTCGCAGGACAGCGCCAGCAGCAGCAGCAGCAGCAGCGACAGCAGCAGCAGCAACAGCGACAGCAGCAACCATTCAAACAGCAACTAAAATCAAAGCCTAATTGCCTATAAATGGCAGCTTTGCAACAGCAACAACAAGGACAACAACAAACTGCACAAAATGTGGCGACATCAAACGTAAAGCTTTCAGCGTAGCGCCAACATCAACTAGAGTAATGGCAACAGCAGCAGCAACAGCTAGCAGCAACAGCTAGCAACATGCTGGCGACAGCAGCAGCAACAACAAAAACAACAACAACAACAGCAATAACAAGTTGCCAAGCGTTAAGCCTTTTGATTTATAAACAAAAATTTAGCAACAATGCATTATAGTTGCTCCTGCTGCTGCTGCCGCTCCTGCTGCCACTCCTCCTGCTGCTGTTGCTGTTGCTGTTGGCTATGCAATTAGGCGCGAGATGTATGTCTGGCAGGTAGAGGCAGCGAGGTGGTCCTGTGTGTCGCCAGCATGTCCGACATATAATCGATCGATCGCTTGATATACAAATCATTTACTTGATCTCTCACTTGCAGCAGCAACAGCAACAGCAACAGCAACAGCAGCAGCAGGAGCAGCAGCAGCAACAGTAGGAGCAGCAGCAGCATCATAGATGTTGCTCGCGTGGTCAGCGCCAATTACTTAGAGCATATCAATTATATGACTGCAGCGACTGTAAAATAAATGAGCCAACATGGCCAAATGATACGCAAGTATCAGCAAGTTGAATTCCCAAGGAGTTGCAATTGCAGTTGTTGCTGTTGTTGTTGCTGTAATTGAACTGCGCGTATTGCAAATTATTATTTTGTGCATTTGCAATCGCATTGCCTGGGCTGCCTACTGGAAATGTGCAAGGCTTGCCCCCAAGTGCTGCGTGCAGGGCCACACCGATCAGCCGCCTCCTGCTTCTCTCTCTCTCTCTCGTCTCTGTGCTGCGTGTCTGTTCATATGTTTTCATTACTTTTGACCATTATGCGTGTACGTGACGCACAATTTGAAATTGGCAGCTTATAAGCCGGATACCAGGCGACCAATGTGCACAATTGGCAACATCGTCGTTGTTGTTGTTGTTGTTGTTGTCGTTGCATCTCCTTCCCCCCGCTGCCGCCCACAACTTTGCCAGCGGCAATATGCTGGCCAATCGAGCAGAGCCAACCAAAACCAAACGCATCGAACCCTGGGCTCAGGACCGTCTGGCCCGAGCAGCGAGGCGTGCGAGCCTCTGTTTGTGGCTTTTGTTTGTTGTTCAAGTTTACAATTTTAATGCACTGCCACTTGACTGTTGACAGTGCAACACGCCAAGTGCATGTGTGTGTGTGTGCGTGTTTGTTTGTGTTTGTGCTGGGCTATTGATTTTATGCGCACTGCCCTGCAGTTGTCGTCGTCGTCGTCGTCGCCGTCGACGTCGACGTCAGCGCAGCTGCTTTTAACTCATTTTGCACATGCACCAAATGAATTTTCAACAGTTAAATCATTCGAAGAAACACTCTATAAACATAAATATATATATATACATATGTGTGTATATATAATAATAAAACGCTGATTCATGCTGCTTGCCGTTTTTTAAAGCGAGAAATCCATTAAGGCACTGCGACTGCATATCATATTTCCCTGCACTTATGCTTGCTGCAGCCGAAGGTTTAATTATGGAATAACTGGTATTATTGTAATGAGCATGTCCTGCATCGATAATTGGCAAGGCTATTGCCAATGCAAACAGCATTGTTAATTAACAATTGAGTACCGGCTCACTCAATGGTGCAGTGTGCGATCGATCAGGAGATGCCCTGTAAATGGGATTTACTTAATGTGAAGAGGTGGATATAAAATAAAAGCAAAGTGACTAGGAAACATCCTGTATATATGTATAAGTAAGTCGAAGATTATATAGATTCGATATTTGCATATTTTCCACAGTCTCTAATGAATGTGAGAATCGCATAGAAAGGGAGAGAAGTTAACGAAAGTTCAAGAGGGCGAGTGTTTGATACATAAAGGAACTGTAAGAGAGGAAACGAAATAGAGAATGAAAGAGTACAAACAAAGGAAAGATAGAGAAGAAGAAGAAGGTGAAGAAGAAGAAGAAGAAGAAGAAGAAGAAGAAGAGAGAGAAATACGGAAGGAGTAAAAAGAATGCTGAAAAAAGGGAATGATAGAGCTAATGACTGAGAGAGAAGTTAGAAGTTCAGACCTAGAAACTGACAAAGAAGTAATAAGTTTAGTGAGATATATCTAGAAAAGAAGATAAATAGATACGATGAGTTAGGAGGGCCACGAGATAGAATAAAAGAGCCTGATGGATTGATTAAAAAGGATAATCAAGATATAAGAGACTATGCTCGAGACATGAGATATAGAGGATTAATGCGGATAAACGTGATAGAAAGTGCTTCGCATATTTTCTTACTGCCTCAATACTCTATATCTTATATCTTGAATATAGTCTCACATATCTATATATGATTCATCATATCACCTACCAATTCCACTTTGTTTTATTATACCCATTGCTTTAGTCATTTTCTTGCCGCACTTTATTTATGCCTTGGTTTCCATTTTTATGGCTAGCAAGTGGAGACTATAACTATGCCCTTTAAGCAGAGCTGAAGAAATGTGAGCTGCAGTCAAGGCATTTACGGTTCCCATTTAGCCATGGGGCTGAACTAAGTTAACAATTAAGCAAAGCCTGAAATGAGATTATATACAGAGCAGCAGCAGGAAAAGAAGTAGTAGAAGAAGAAGAAGAAGAGGCAGAATAAAAAGCATAATAAAGCCTTTGCCTCCTCGAATAGCCATCGATCTTTAATGGCCATTGTCAGCGTCCCAAATCGCAGTCATTGTCAGGGCCCGTGGATGTGTCGCTGGTTGTTGAATATGATTGAAGTACTTCTTGGCCAGAGTCGTAACGAGCTGGCATCTATCTTATGGCCATATCAAACTGGCATCAAACAATTTCAAATGGATCGAATGAAAAATCAACTGGCGTTGAAAATGGCCAAGCCAATTGCAGCAGCAGCAACAACAGCAGCAACAGCAGCAGCAACAACAACAACAGCAGCCAGCAACGATTGCAACTGCAACTGCTGTTTTGTATGCATGCGGCGAACGTGATCTGTTGCCTAACAGCAATTTTTAGCTGCTAGATATCGCTCCAGAACAAAGTGGCCAACGCGCAGCGACAATGTTGCCGACGACGCACAGAAGCAGCAGCAGCAGCAGCAACTGTTGCAGCTGGCTGCAACTGCTGGCGAATCATCGGCGCATTTCACTTTGGCCAAAGTCAATGATTGAAATTCTAACTTTGCAACTCGTTGCTGTTGACCTTTTCGCATGAGAATCGCATGCTGATGATGGATACACTGTCTATTGCCTATTGCCTGTTGTTGTTGTTGCTGTTGTTGTTGTTGCTGCTGCTGCTGACTGAACTGAATCTGTATATAGAGTTGGGCGCACTGTCAGCTAGACAGTTGCTCAACTGCTGCCACACAGCTGTCAGTGTGCGCAGCTCGTCATGGGCAATTTAAGTGGAAGTGGAAGAAAGGTTGCCAGCAACAACAACAAATACAGCAGCAACAACAACAACAACACACACAAACACATTCGACATGTACATCGATGGCAGAATGCCAAAGTCAAAGCCAAAGCAAATACGCGACGGATAATTGCGCGCAGAGCGAAAAAAAAAAAAGCTAGTAAGAATAATGCAGTGGGGCATAAGCGACTGCTTAATGCACGTTCACGAATCGGAAAACTGCGAATCTATGCTAAAGTTGAGGCCAATTTATCAGACTATAAGGAGCCCTAGAGGTTTAGTCTAAGCCAATTGTTACTTGATGATCTCAGCTCTATGAGATTTTTAGTTTATAGCCAATATGCCACGCCTCTAGGAGAGTGTTTATAAGATAAATGGCAATCGACTTGAGCGGTTATAATTAATAATAATACTAAGAATATAAATATTTGCACATTGCACTTATTTAAATATACTATGAAGCAGAGTTCATCAAAATAGGAGTAGAATATGCTGCAGTTCTCATGAATGCTGCTACTACTGTTTTTATGAATGATACCACTACTATTTTCATGATGTTGCTACTATTACTATAAATGCTACTACTACTATTTTCATGCATGCTACTATTTCAATTTTTTGCTA